AAGTTCCACTCTCCAAGCTGGGTGCAGTCCTTTAAATAAACCTTTTAAAATAGGCACTCTGCATCGGACAAGTATTCGTTAGGTGCCTGCTGTGTACAGGACATGGATCCAGGACCTAAATAAAATGAAGCAAGAGATACAAGATGACTGCAGAGGGGTGCAAGAAAAAAATCACAAACAATTGTAACCGTATCATCAATACCCTACTTTTTTATCTTAAAGAAAATACACAGGGGGACTTGACGCACTGAACAGTGTCTTCTTTTTTTTTTTTTTTTTAACATCTTTATTGGAGTATAATTGCAGGAAGTTTTTACAATTGCAGGAATGATTTCCAAGTGGCCGTTTCATGTCAATGACTCTCAGTTAAGGCCAAAGCAATGAAATGAAAGCTTAGGTCAGAAAGGTGATTCCCTTAGGGCAGCCGGACTAGCTTCCCAGGTTCTTCATGGAGAGGAGGACTGGGGGTGTCCAAAGCCCATATTCTTCCACCACACTTTACTACCCCTCCCCCAGACATAAGAGCGAAGAGGGTCTAGCGGTAGCACAGATCACATACAACTGGGGGGAATCAAAGAAGACTTCGTGGAGGAGACTGCATCTCACATGGGGAATGAAGGTAGAGAAAGAGTGGGTGGCTGGGGCAGGAAGGACGTTCCCGTGTGATGGACCATACAGTGTACAAAGTGAAGTAACAGGGAAAGCCTGACAGGAGAGTTAGGGCCAAGTCATAGAGGGCCCCAAAAGACAGGCCAAGGAGGCTGCATTTAATAGAATCAGGGGACCCACTGAGTAAGAAGGTAACCTAATCCGAGGAGGTCAGAGAAAAATCTGAGATCCAGAAACTAGTTAGGTGGCTACTGCAAGAGTCCAGACCACACCTGTGGGAGTTGCACCATGTTGGAGACAATAAGAGATACTGGCGAGGCTAGAAGCAGGGGGAGGTTCAGAAATTGGTAGTAGTGGGTCAAATGGGAGAACCCAGGGGAGAATTCAAGGTGCCGAGCCTTGGGGATATGAAAAGGAAAAAGGCAGAGCTATAACCAGAATGTGGACTTGACCAGGAAGGGACTGATGTGAGCAGGGGGTGGAGACAATGAGCTGGGTCTTCAACAGGGAGAGTGTGAGTTGCCAGCGTCCACAGGAGACCTGGTACCAAAGCTCAGGAGAGGGGCTGGGCTGGAGGGAGAGGAGGCAGGTACCTATGCCTGTGATTTGGGAGTCACTTACCTATGCCTGTGCCAGCTGAAGACTTGGAAGAAGACAAAAGAAATCACGTGGGGAGACATGGGGGCAGAGGGTAGATGTCACCTGGACATCATCAGTCTGCCTCTTTTTAAAGCTTCCTAGGGACAGAGGAGGCTGAGGAGGCACAGAAGACAGAGGGAACTTTGGAGAGGGAAAACCAGGAGACCCTGGTGCACGTCCAGCAGCGTCACAGGTCATGGAGTGATTCAGGGGTCAGGGAGGCAGGGAGGCAACCACTGGATTTGTGGTTGAGGGTTGTCATGGGTGACCCTGGAAAGAGCAGCTTCAGTGTCGGGGGCAGAAGTCAAGCCACAAAGATTTAAAAGGCAAGAGGCAGAGGGTGTGGGGCAGCTGAGGAACCCAGGAGGAGGGAGGTGATGGTGAGCAGAGGTGGATTAGGGGGAGGCAGGCAAGGTGCCTTGGGAACAAAACTTAAGGAGGCTCTCCCTCTCGGGGTCGTGCAGGTGGCCCTGATGAGGCGGGGCAGACACCTGGTCCCAGAGCTGTTGAGAGATAGAGACCGTCTGAGACTAAAGGAACTGAGATAACCCAGGAGGGGAACTTAGAGACCCGGACAGAAGCTAAGACCCTTCGACCTCCATGTCAAGGCAAAAACACAGTGGCCAGTGGTAGAGCCTCAGAGGACATGAAGGCTGGGGGAGGGGAGGGATGGAAAGAGGATGCACCGATAATCTGGGAGCAGGGGCAGGGGACTCCGAGATAGAGAGAGAGAGAGAGAGAGAGAGAGAGAGAGGAGGAAACCAGGGAGGGAGGGAGAGCTTCCTCGGGACCCTCCTGGGGAGATTCTCCCCACCCCGCCTCAGTGAGTGTTAGGAGGAGGGAGAGTCCCAGGATCCTTGTGTCAGCCTGAGGAAAGCAAGGGGTCCAACTCTGCCTTTCCCCAGGCTGCTCCAACTCAGGGAGGCTTGTGGTCCCAGCCCAAGAAGGTCTGTACCCCACACCGACCCAGCACACCACAGTACATGCTTCCTTCCTCCAGGAAGCCTGAGCAAGTTTTTCCATCCTGGGACTTAGTTTCTGTAGTGAGCTGAATGGTGGCACCCAAAAAGATAAGTCCCCGCCCTAACTCCACTGCCCCCAGAACCTGTGAATGTGACCTTATTTGGAGAAAGGGTCTTTGCAGATGTAATTTAATTAAGGTTGTCATGATGAGATCATCCTGGATTATCCAGGTGGGCCCTAAATCCAATGACAAATGTCCTTATAAGAGACAGAAGAGGGGAAGGCCACGTGCAGATGGAAGCAGAGATTGGAGTAAGGCAGCCACAACCCAAAAAACACCTGGAGCCACCAGAAGCTGGACGAGGCGAGGAGGGATTCTCCCCTAGAGCCTCTGGGGGGAGCACAGCCCTGCAGTCACCTTGATTTCGGACTTCTAGCCTTTAGAATTGTGAAAGAGTAAATTTCTATTGTTTCAAGCCACCAAGGTTTTGGCAATTTGTTGTGGCAGCCCTAGGAGACTAATATGGTACCCTATTCTGTAAAACGACTAGAAAGATTCTAGGGATGCTTCCAGCCCTAAGATTCTCCAAATTAAACCATTCAGCAAGGAGAGGAGTTCCAGGTCTGGCCAAAAGGTGTGTTTTTTAACTCACTGCCCAGCCCCCTTCCAGGTTGAGGATTAATACTTTGACTTGAAAGAGGAGGAAAGCCAAAGGAAAGGCATCCCCTCCCACTCCTCAGAGAAGGACGAGTCCCAAAAGGGTATTTCATGACCCACCACTCCTCTCCTTCGCCCAGAGCTCACGCCACCCCGCCCAGGCTGGTCGAATGGGCCCAAACTGACCTGACTAAAAGCAAGGAGCTCTTTGAAAGCAGGAGTCTGCCTTTCTGAATTTCTCCTTGCAAACTTCACCGCCCCCTCTTCACAGCGCCTCTCTCCCCACCCCTCACATTTGCGTTCTTCCTTGGCCTTCCCCATTCTTGGGGGGCAAGATAAGATGGATACCCCTGAAGCACAGGAATGGAAAGCACTCCCCCACCCTCCTCCCTCCTCCCCACAACACAGCTGGAGGGGGAGGGGAGGTCAGCAGGGTTCATAAAGGCCAGATGTTGAGGAGAAAGAGAGCAGTGCCCGACCCACACCCACCCACCCCACCCCCACCCCCAGCAAAAGAAAAATTAAAAGAGACAGCTTTTAAAACAAACAAAACTTTTGTGGTCCAAAACAGTTTTTCTCGAGAATCTGCTCTATGCAAACATTAACAACTTTTTACAAAGCATTTTCACAGAAAAGGAGACAAGTCCTTCCCCAGTATCATATGTGGGAATTGTTCCTCCCTTGTCCCGTCTTGGGGGAAAAGGGGGCGATATTCACTAGTGTGGGCAGAAGGGTCACTGGGTCCCTCAGTTGTTGGGAAGATCGGCAACCCCCAGGTTCCCCTCACACCTAAACTTGGAATTTCCCTAAGAGCTAAACTCCCCAGACCTCACCTGGGTGGAGGAAAAAGCAATTCCACTCCCCTCTGACTCACTCCCCTCCCCCAGGAAAACAGAACTTCTGACCTCAAAACTAATCCCCTGGCCCTGCCCCTTTCGGATCCATCAGGTCCCTGACAACTCCCGAAATGCCTGAAGTTGGGTGGGGGGAGGATGCTAAAGGTTCCTCAGCCCAGTTCCCTTCAAAACCCACTGGACCTTGTGGTTAGGCCAAGAGCCCTTTCATTTACCCCCTCCACAAAGAGCAGCTTGTCTTCCTTCTAGCCTTGAAGGGGTCTCAGTTTGGGTGTTCAAAGAATGGACCCTGGCCTGCCCTCTACCTCCACACCCTCCATCCTTAAACCGGTGGCGAGGACCTGGAAAGGCAACTTGTTTGGTCTGATTTTATTGATTTCTTCCACCTTCCATTACTTTCCCTGGGATGGTCTCTGGCCCCTTCCCCAGACAAAGTCTGCAATTTTGAAGGGGAGGAGGTCCCTCAGCCCTGCGCCTCCAAATATAAGGAGTAAACTGGAGGAGGGGGCTGACTTATGGGGGGGAGTCCTCTTTTACCCATCAGACCTTATAATCTGAAAGCAAACGGGGAATACTGGAGAGGCGAACCCCCAGACTGGACAAAGGGGAAAGGTTGGTGGCTGAGAATGAATATCTCAGTAACTAGGGGTCACTTGACTTGGGGGTCCCTAGGAAAAGAACCGAAGGGGGTGATCTCCCCCTTGCCTAAGCTGCTCCTTCCCCCATGAAGGCTGCAGTGGTGCCTGGAGACTAGGGAAGGCCCGAGGGGAGTGAAGGGTTAAAGGACTGGATGGTGCGGGTGGGGGATGCCCCCGGGAGCTGCCAATCATCTCCCCACCCCCACCAGGGCCCCCACCCCCACCCCAATCCCCAGGCTCGCCCACAGAAACAACCGGTTTGTCCATCACCAAGGTCTCTCTCCCTCTTTTTTTTTCCTTGTCTTTGAGCTGTATCCTCCTCGGCTCCCCCTGGGGTGAAGGCCCTGCCCCCAGAGATCCGAGATGGAAGAGGCGAGGGATTGGAATCTATGTCTTTAAGCCTTTTTCGATTAAGCCTTCTCCTGACTTCAGCCCTTGGTTCGCCTCCAGAGGATGAGGGGGAGGGGGTGTCACCCCAACCAGTTAGGTGCTTGAAGATCACTGTCATCTGAGGTCCCTCTGACCACAGCCCATAAAACCTGAAGAGAACAGGCAAAGGTGAGGAATGAGGCTCTGTCCTCAAGCCCGCAGTTTGGCTGTGGCCCCCACTTTTCCCCTTTGGCAGAAGAGGTCTCACGCTCAGAGCTGCTCCAGGTTGATCCCCCAGAATTTGAGGCCGGGGGGCTCAGGGACAGCGGGACCCCCAATCTGCCACCTCCACAGCGGGTGGGCAGGCGGGGGCTTAGAGTCTCCCTGGAGACGAAGCGAGGATGCCGGCCCTAAGTCTCCGTCCTCCCCCACCACCAGGGCCGGGGGGCAGGGGAAGCAGTCGAGGAGGCTGAAGGTGCTCGTGATGGGGAGCGTCGGTGCAGGACGGCGGGGCTGTGCGCTGCGTTGGGGGGGCGTCGGCCGCCGGCGTTTCTTGGCGGCTCCCCGGGAGGGCCCTTTGGCTGGGGGCCGCTCGGGCCCCCGGCGCAAACTCGGAGTGTCGAGGGCGAAGCCCTTCGCGTAACACCAAAGTTTCGAGCGGCGGATCAGACGATCGAAATGTTCCTGGCGGAGATCGCCGGGCGCCGCCGGAGCTTCGCTGGCCGTCGAGGGGCTGGCGGCCGTTGCCTCGGGGGAGGCCTTCGGGGGGTTTCCATCGACTGCGGCAGTATGGCTCGGCGGGGGCGGCTCCGGCGCTGTCCCGGGCCCCGCGGGCTCAGAGGAGAGGCCCGCAGGTGGCGGCGTTGGCCGGGAACCCGGTTCCTGATGCGGGCTGGCGGCGGGGCCAGGCTGGGAGTCGAGATCGGGGGCTGGCCTAGGCGGAGCCGAGACGGAGCTGGTCGGAGATTCCCGAGGGCGCCGGGGCGCCGGGCAGCGGCCGGGAGGTACGCCGGAGCGAGCGCCGAAGTGCGGGAAACTGCCTCCGCCCTCTTCCTCCTCGCTGCGGCCCCGGCACACAGCGGCGTCGGCATCCTGGCTGGCCGGGGAGTTGGGATCGCTGTAACGCCAGGCCTGTCCCGCGAGGTGCTTCAGGCCATCCGGGGCCCAGCCGCCGGTGCACAGCGGGGCATGAGGGCCCAGCAGCACCGGAGCCCGCGGCGCCAGCTCCCCAGGCCCCAGGCCCAGAGAGGACGCCCGGGGTTTGGCAAGGGCGCAGAAGGCAAGGGCACGCAGGCACAACGGAGAGAACTCCTGGGTCCCCCGACGCGTCTTCCGGGGTGTGGGGGAGCAGGGCGACCCTCGCGGGGACGCCGGCACTGCGAGGCGGGGAGAGGGGCACAGAGTCTCCATGGAACCACCCGGGGGGGTGCCCACTGCAGGGACCCTGGTCCCAGCGGCGGGATGCCCTGGCTGCCCGAAGAGCCCACGGGCGAGGGGAACATCGCCCCCCCTCGACGGGGAGGTCTCTGCTCACGGGCGCCCCCGGCCCGCACCCCTGGGCCGCGGGGCTCCGGCTCCCTCTTCGATCTCGTCACGCGGCCCTCCTGGCGGCCGGACTCCTGGGTCCCTGCGAGTCCCGGCGCGGTCTGCCGCCCTTCCTGCCGCCGCGATCCCTGTGCAGCCCAGGCGGGAGCCCCTCTTGAGTTGCCCAGAGCGCAGAGGCTGGGGAAACAAAGCGGCCGGCGGCCGCGGGAGGCGGGAAGGACCCCGGGCCCGGCACCCGGTGCCCGGGCCCAGGCGGCAGGGAGGGCGCCTTCCGCCCGCTCGGCTTCTTTCTTCCCCGCTGGCTCCCGGAGACCGCGTTATAGAGAACTGCCCCCTCGCTGCCCCAATACCAGCGCCGGGGCCGCGAGTCCGCCACTGATTGGGCGGCACTGCCAGTGACGTTAGCCCGGACCCCACCCCTCCAGCGGCACCGCCCCCGTCCCCATTCCGCACACAGACACACACACGTGGACCCGGCGCGGCGGCGGCTGGGAGGGAGGAAAGGAGGGTGCGTGCGCGGGTGGGATCGCGACTGGCGAAACGCGCCACTGCACGTGGCGCGGTGGCGTCCTGGTGTTCAGTCGCCGCAAAGCACTTCATTTTTTCCTTAGCTGTCATGGTTTTCGCATCCGGAAAATGGGAATGTTCATATCTACCCTCTCGGGACAACGTGAATCAACATAGGTGAATCTCAAAGGCGAAGATGAAAGAAAAGATGAAAAGAGGTTGTTTAGAAACTGCACAGCAGGAACTCCTGCAAGCAGAGAATGTTCCCAACCTCTCTGTTTCGGTCGCCTAGAACAGTGCCTGGCACACAGTGGGCTCAAAAAATGTTGAATGAATAGTTAGGAATTCAGTGAGTGTGTGCAAGGTGATAAAAGTAAATAAATTCGGAGAGGAGGAGTATTATTACACCCACGAAAGACGATAAATAGACTTTCTCAGTACCTGTTTCCATTTCTGACTTAGCTTCTAAATGGCCCCTCGAACAAATTCTGAGGGGCTGACTCTGCAGCCCCCCTCAAATCCCAAGACTCTGCCCTGTGAGGCCTGAACTGCCAAAATGGGTTGAGGAGACCAAAGGAGGGGACACACACACCCTCACTCTTATCTCCCCCAGGCAGAGTAAAGCAAAGAAAAAGTGAATTCCAATAAAAATCCTGATAATGGAGGACCACGTCCCCGCAGCACGTTCCATCCTCTTACCCTTATTTAGTTTCTGTAGATCCTGCTATTATATGAAAATCTATGAATGTTCTTTGTTGTCTGTTCTTCTTTGTTGTTGTTGTTGTCTGTCTCTCCCGTTAGTCTGGAAATGAGCTGATGAGAATTTTGTTTTAATCACTTCTGCATCCTCAGTGCCTACAACAGTGCCCAGACTTAATAAGTGCTCAATATATATTTGTAAGTGAATGAATGAATCCCTGAAATATTTCTCTCTTAATAAAAATCAGGTTATTGGAATATAGCGACTTCCCATCCCCAGAAATATACAGAGAGATTGATATGACGACATGGAGTAAGGATGTGTTCATATGTTGGGGGGCGGTCACAGAGAGAAATATCCTACTCTGAGGCAGGGATAAGAGAGGGTTTCTGTAAGGGGACAAATAATGCAGCTTGCATCCTGGTCCTCCTGGTGATGACAACAGAAGTATTGTTTCCCTAC